AATCCTACTGTAAAGCGCCTTGTGACACTATTTTTAAAGGTACTTTTTTATTATTATTGATGATGATGATTTATATGGTTCACGATGTATTTCATCTGCTTGTCCTGATTCCAGTAACGCGAACAGTGCCACCCGCCACCACGTGAAGGAAAAAGACTGAGTTTTCTTTACAGGAGACAGGAGAACCCGCACGACAGCACACAGAGGCTATGGGCATCGTTTCTCCGTAAGTCCTGAGACAACAGAGCTCTGGGGGGTACACATTTCCAGGGGGATACTGATTGGGATAGGAAACGGGGTGATCGGGTGTAGGCAGCCGGGCTGACGCATTCTGATCGCGGTTGAAGATGACGCCCAGGCGGCGCACTGGTCGGGTGTTTGCACGGGTCTCCTGGAGAGAGGAGAGAGGGTACCCGGGTAAGTAGGGTACGGCACGTCGTGTCATCCTCCGGCAGCGCGCGGCGCCTCCCCGTCGCCCTTGCGCGAGAGGAGAGCCGCGTCCCCGGGGCCGGCTGCCGCGGATGCCACGTCACCGCGTCTACGTCTGCTATTAAACATCTGATCTATCTTTTTGGAATGCACTGTTGGAAAATATAAAATGGAAGTTAGTTTGGACCACTCCTGATAGATATTGTATGACAAATAAAGTGAAAGAGATATCGTTTAAAATTGTTCTCAAGGTTTATCCAGTTCAATTAGTGCTCTTCAAATTTAAGCCTGAGCAGGGTGATCTGTATGTTTTTTGTCGGGGTTAAAGGCAGTCTTTGATGCATTTATTTGTGAGGTGTAGGTTTGTGAAGTTGTTTGGGACGGACTTGCAGAGTTTTGTTTGCAGGCAGTTAAAGGTGTTTTTTAGATGTAAGGATTTTGATATTTTATTGTACCGTTTAATAGAACACTTGGAAAAAGAGCATTTATTTATTGTCAATGTATTAGTCATTCTGGGTAAATGTCACATTCATAAATCAAAATGGTCTAATAATACTCCCCTTTTTAGTACTTTTGAGGTGGAGATGAAACACTATTTACATTCTATAAAACAATTTGAGAAATAATAAACCAAGGAAAACATGATATATGTAAAAAAAAAACAATGTGATCAGATAATTTACTTCATTACCCCTGGAGGTTAAATGTTTTTTTCTGTTTGTGTTTTGTTTTTTCCTCTTGTACCTGTTTCTGATCCACTGGTAGTAGTTGTATTTGTAAATTATTTTATAAAAAAAAAAACATCTGTTCTTCCTGCGGTTCCTGCTGTGCTGTACGCAGGCTGCGTCAAGCCCGGCGCTGGGTTTCTGCTACAGATCACCCTCTATGGTCCTACCAGGTATTAACTCTTCCTCATGAGCGAAGCAGGATCACAGACGGAACACAGGTTACCGGTAGGACGTTATACTATTGTAACTCAGCAGGGACCCAGCCCGGTGAGCCAAAGAGAGATCTCTCTACAGCCC